AATAAAATTTGACAAAAGATTACAAAAGAACAGCACATCAGCAAGAAAAGCAAAGGTTGTGGTGCAGCCAGTGAAACCACTGAGGGAGAGAGTGGAGGAGAACTCTGAGTCGCAGCTGGTTACATTTTATTGAACGTCAATGGCATCTGAAGCACCAGCAAGTCACTGCAGCTAACGTTTCGAATACTGTTCATCTTAACTTAAGTTTGAAGTTTGAAAACCTCAGGGACAACGACACAGGCAGCAAGTTCTGTGGAAATATTGATTAGACTGTCAGACCACTTCTCAGTTAGTATCTGAGAGTGTAACACCTAGAAAACAATGTATAAACCCATTAAAACCCAAAGAAGCCCACACTGAATAAATATACAAACACTTACACTACCATGCATATATTTACACCTGGTCATTGTAGATCTTTGACTGTAAATTCAAATGACAACCACCCTGGAATCACCACATTATATTTCAAATTTTGCTCAGAGGAATTTGTGTTTTTCAAAGTTCCCTCTCCTAATTAGATCTCAGGGCATTAATATCACAATTGCACATGCTAATGGTGGCGTTCAGTCATGCTTTACACATCGCTAATGGCTTGTTTGTGAATTTCCTTCTGGCTCAATAATTACTGGGACCATATTGATTCCAACTAATTAATGTTTCCTGTCAAAAGTCAACACACACTTTAGTGAGGTGGACGTGCCGCGCACTATTTCGACAGTGCTGCTCCCCCACTTCAGTCCAGTCTGAATCCTAAAGACTCTAATGATCCTCTAACTTTTGCTTCAGTGGTTGTTGTGGTTTTGATTGTTATAAACAACAGTGGAATGCTTTGGTTAAGCTAATTAGGATCAAACATGGTGGGTAAACTGGCATTCTCCCAATATTTCAGGCTATTCATTGTCTGTTTAAAATTGTTATATTGTTTATTTCCGTGGAGACAATTTCATTATTACATAGAGTTCTGTATTTATATGAACAGTTGTTTCAAAATTACAGTTTGTTTGTATTTAGTCCAGAAGAAAGTCAATAGAGTATAAAACCATTCTGGGATTTACTGGATCCAGCTACAATATCTGTCTGATCTGATATAGGAATGAGAATGTTAACATGTCAACAAGTTCGCTGCATCAACTGTTGCAGCCAAAAAAAATCATTTGTTAAAGATTTAAAGATATCCTTTACTTTGTGGTGAATAATTGCAAAACAAGCTTCTACTTAAATACAATTACACCTAAATAATAGAGCTGCCCATGCTGTGTCCACCTCTATGTGATAATACATCATGGAGGATTTATTCGGTCCAGGGATGTAATGAAGTATTGACTGCATGATTGCCTAGCTGGGATTATTGATAAGCCGCAGTCTACGTCAATAACACAATCACAAATAAGCAATGGGATATCAGTGTGCAAACATGTATGCAAAACCTGATGATGATATGAAGTGTCAAATTAAAATTCAGAACATTTGTAAAGGTAGTTAGGATACAATCAAATTCCAGTGTTTTAAAATATGTGTGGCTGGAGAGATTTCCCCTCGTGAAGAGACTCGCTGTAAAATTTAATACAAACTTTACTCAATATCTTAATATCTTATCTTAGTAATTTACAGGAACTGAAACAAAAGGATAGAACGTTGAAAGGACACACACAGATGTGGGAGTAAACGAGGGGGATTATTCCTTCATTCACTAATTTTGTGTGTTTCCGTCACGTCAGACCATGAGTCATTTCAGCCTCTTCATTTGACTGCTATGCCATAAATGTGCCTGTTACGGAGCAGAATTATCAAAACATATTTTCTTTTGCAAACATGTAGAATACATCGCTGCTGCAGCATATGATTACTAATGATATGCTGAATAACACAGATGAGGCAGGAGGTCATTTTTGGCCTGATTACTATTCCACGGCAGATAAATCTGGTTTCTATTGCCGTGCTCTACTATCTTAGCCAGGCAGAATATTGCCCAGTGAGAGTGAAATCCCATAACTCTGTGTCCTGCTGATCACTCGCTGTGGGTAGTAAATAATCAACACGGGCCGTTTATGTCACTGACCAGTCTGTCAAGGTCACGACACTCCGACTAGCTTCAATGACCAGCGTTGTGTTTGATTTATCATGTTTTGTATTTGGTGGAATGGTACAGCCATTTATCTTTCCTCTCCACAGTGCCTCAGAAAGAATGGATCAATAACACATTGCGTACATTTTAAATGTAATTGAAATGTTGGCTGTATTTATCAAACCTCTCAGATAAGGTGATCCAGCCCAGAATCTCTGCCCAGGTGCATTTGATGGAAAAACAATCTCCCTGAGGACATATTTTTCGCTGGTTTTCACAAAAGGAGAATGATTTTATATGACAGGCAACTCTGTCCGTAACGTCTGTTTCATAATTTTTATGAAAGTGGAACCTTTGAGTTCTGTTGCAGCAGTAAGAAAAATCATTCATTTATTGTGTAATGCATGTTGGCATTTGACAGTTTGACAAACTAGCGACACAGCCTAAGAACACAGCGTTTCTCAAGAGTATGTGACATGGCTCACTTCATATTTTTACATATGGACAGTAGTTTGTATTTAATATCATTGTTTCTTTGATATTTGTGGCTTTTAGCAACATGTAACATTGCCCAGAAACCAAACACGTTTGTGGGTTTGATGACAGAAGAGAGTCCTGGAGCAAGTTGAGGGGTTAAAGGTTAAAAATTTAAAAGAGATACTTTTGTTTTGAAATGTTTTGGATATAAAACAACGATACAATCACATCAGGAGCTGCACTGCTGCAGTAGGAGGTTTTCAAGGGAGTTATATTATAAATGTCTTTCTGAGAAAATTAAGCACGTCCCCCGGGTTTATTTTTCATATTCCCGGACAAATCAGCATCTATTACAAATGCAATTACACATTAAATATGAAGTTAACAGGTTCAAGTTAAACAATTAATCCGTGAGCCTAAAAACAAAAAACAGCTCTTATGAAATGTTTTAATTGTGTGAAATGCTTTATTTTTTTGAATCTGTGATCTCTGCTTTTCTACAAACCTGTTCACCACTTCCTCACCCGTCCTCCAGTGTCCGACCTCACCCCGGCCCCTTAACTTATGGACTCTTGTCAAACCTAGGTATTATGGGTAATGGTGTTTGTTACCTTTTCCCCCTCTTAGAAATATGAACTAAACAAAGACAATAAACAGAAAATGTCCTGTATTATCTAAACATATGAACTGAACCACTCCACATATTGTTGAGAAATAAAATAAGAAAATACTCAAATCTAGTGGTGGTTTGGGTGAGTTGCACCAAGACAATGTGGGTCACACATATCTGAGGTCTCAGACCTGACACTGACCCACACTTGGTACTGTGGACTCACCAGGATCTCCTGGGAGCTCTGGTGTTGATATCTTTTTCGTTTCGATCTTTATTCACTTCCACACCAATTGGTCCTCCCAGACAATGTTAGTGTCACGATCGTCCTACTGATTACAAACAAACCGTCTTCCTGCCCCCTTCTTTAACCGTAAAGTGCAATTTCACCTCTCAATAAAAGACGGATAGAAAACAGTATATAATTTCCTGTGTAGCGAGGAGAGGCACTCTTACAGGAAATATATATTGTGGAAGCTTGCTCTGGATATTAGAACAGCTGCATTTGAGTGGCTCTACAACAAAACACTCACTAAAAATTCAATTCAAGCTTCTAGGAGGGGTGAGCAGAGCTAAACAGCAGTTTCTGCTCCGGAGCATTTTATTCCACAAATGATCATCATAAGATTTGGATGAGAACAACACACATCTGATGTAACCACCTCGACCAGGATAACCTGACTCATTCTGAGAAACGTCGTCATTCTTGAGAGTGGTGGTACAAACCATTTTATCACCACTTTGTTAGATGACAATTTCTCACATAAATGCCCGGCTGCTATATTCAGAATATCTGACAGACAATCACTATAGATTCCAAGAAACTCTGACTCATGGCGGGTAACAAAGGTGGACGACCTTCTGCTGTTTATTATCTGCACTGCTAACAAGACCTTCTAAAACTGCGGCTTGGTAATAAGCACAGCAGTAAACCAAAAACGGTGCACTTCATCTGATTATATGCCTTTTTTACAGAATACTTCATTTGGAATCATCAACTGGCTCATTTTCTGTAGAAATTAGGTCAGTAGTCAGCGTTCTCTGTAGAAATCCTCCAGTTTCTGTTCTAGCAGGGGTTTCCACACTGTTCCTGTTGAGGATGGCGCAATAAAATGTAAAACAGGAGCCTCACAAATGGCAGCCGTACCTCTAAAAACCTAATTAATTAGCCTTTAGTGGTGGTCAACATCGTTATAAGCAGATTTGTGTGACATCAGAGCAGCAGTAATTACCCATGTTTTGCAATTCTAGTCACTAAACGGCTTATTTTCTCATAAATGCAGATATAAACTTAGCTCTGTATCTTTTAGGGCATTTTAGTCCTGCAAAGTGATACAGCCCCTAATTTAAATGTATTGCGTTTAAGCACACGCTGCATGGCAAATCTGGTATGGGGGGGGGGGGGGCCCAGAATTCCCAGTTTCACCTCTGCTGTGGACACAACTGACTAATCCGGTGCCAAACTTGCCGGCTGACTAGCTGGGTGTGTAGCTGGATGACTGACTCTCAGGCTGTCTGGCTACCTGCCTTGTTGTTTCTCTCCGACTGATGCATCCACATTTTCCCCCTTGATCAGCCGTCTTGCTTTTGGTCCATCTGTCTGTCTGTCTGTCTGTCTGTCTGCACCAACTGCCATGTGAGTCTGACTGGCAGCAGCATTGATTGCCCGTGCTCTCTATCGATCATGTCAAGTAATTATTGTGAGGCAGAGAAGCCACCTAACCTAATAGTCACAGGCAATATCTACATGTGAGGAATCCTCTTGCTCCCATGTGTGTATAATTGCTGCAGGTAATTAGCAGGATGTGAAGATAGAAAATCTGTGGTGACACCAAGAGGAAAAACAGAAAAGCCCCCATTGTAACAACCACCATCACGGCTACAGTACACACAGTACACACAGTACACACACACTACACACACACAGTACACACACAGTACACACACACATCGACTCTCTGCACCTCAGGACTGACACATTCATTAATGATAATAATGCAGCAGAGGACATGGCAGTGAACTTGGATTTCTGGAAATGAGCGGAAAATGTTACTGCAGGAATAATGCACATTCTGCAGGAGGTGTCTCCAGAGGATAATACCGCTGCTGATAGTGCCGTTAATAATGGATGGGCCTATACACTGTAAAGCGGCTGGTTGCAATATGATTAGCCTGTACCAGAGTGAGTGGCCTATTTCCCCTGAATGACATGCACAGATAGTGGCTGGCTGTGCCCCCCCCCCCCTTGATTTCACGTTTACTGCTTGCATTAAGAGTGTTTGCTTTTCGTGCGTAAATCCCATTTTTAATGAAAGGGTGTTTAATTAAAGAGGCTGCAAACATAACTGGGCCGGATGAAAGGGGGGGGGGGGGGGCTGATAAGATGCTGTCTATACAAGCTAGCCTTTGTGAGGAAAGCAATGCAACGCATGCAAGGCTAGTGATGGCATGTTTAACCTACAGTCAAGGTGCTTCTTCTTGGGTCCGCTGACTTCGTGCGTCGTGGCCTTGCAGACGGCTTTGCTGATGGCAGACCCGGTCATGCTGTGCTGCGCGGCGGCGATCCGGTCCGTCAAAGACTGTCCCGACATGTTCCAGAGGAGGTGGAGGAGGAAGAGGAGGAGGAGGAGTGATGATGGTGGAGTCCGGCTGGGGGGGAAGCGGGGAGGACGATCAAAATGTCTTTAGCGGCAGGGAGGAGGGTAGTGCCCTCTGCGAGGATTGGGGGGGTTTCGGAGGAGGAGGTGGAGGAGGACAGCGGAGAGAACACAGACCAGGATCCGGTGGGAGAATTCATGCGGCGGCCAAATTCAACATGAGACGGTCACATCCAGGGAAGCGTTTTTAAAATTCAGTCGAAGGCATGAGGAGGGTCCGGCTGCAGAAATCAAATATAAACCCTGAATAAATCAATGTCCGATCTGATGATCCTGCATATAAGACAATGTGGAGTCCCTGAAATAGCCGCTGCCAGAGGGTGAGATTCCGGAGGATGCGCCCGAACGAGGGTGGAATCCGAAATAATCGCAGCCGACTACCGGTGATTATCATCAAATCTATGCGGCATCCCCTACGAGTGAAACGTCATTTCTCACAGACGATAAAAAAAACCAGTATTGTCCTTCCCCCCTCGTTTCTCCTCTTCTTCCTCTTCTTCTTCTTCTTCTTCACCCGGTTCCTCCTCTGAATGTGCGCACAGATCGCAGTGCAAACCCTCCGTCTGATCCTCACAGCTCCCCGCGCTGGTTGCACCCAACCTCCGCCGGTTTTTTTTTTCTATCCCGTCCTTCTCATCTTCTTACAAAAGGGTGTATTTCTGTGTTCAGGTTGCCGATAGGCCAACACTGGTTTTTTTTTTCATCAGTCAAACTTGTGCGTAAAATGGCAGTACATGAATCAGGTGACTGGGAAAGGAGGGCGATTGGGCCACTTCTCGGGTCCGGGGGAGGGCATCTTAAAGCAGAAGGCTGCCCCGGGTTTTCAAGGCGAAGGGGAGGCATCAGCTGGTTCATCACCTCGCTGCAAACTCTCCCTGAATACCTGCTGTCCAATGACATGTTGACACACTGAGGATCATCCATGTCAACGCAAGGTGCATTCATTTCTACTGCTTCATTATTACTGAAAATATCCATGTTCTGTGTGGAATGCAGGCAGCAGAAAAATAAGAGGAGGAAGATTTCTGCTTTTTGCTTTTCAAAGAATAATGTGGAAATGCAGAGGATAAAGTCACAATGTCAAGAATACATTTGAAATGTTGAGGGAAAAGTATAAAGCTTAAGCTAAATCAGATAAAGATTTGTTTTTGCATTTCGACTGTAAAGTTGAAACGTTGAGAGCAAAGATGAAATGTCAAGATAAAAATGTTTAAACGTCAAGAATAAAGTGTAAACGCAGAGAATGAAGGCGAGCTCAAGCAGTGTGTTGATTCTTGTGATTTTACAGTAGACAGTGGTTGATTATGGCACATACCCTATTGCATCACAAAATTATATCAGTGTGAAAGAAAACATGTTAAACAAAGATGCGTTGTCAACCATCAGTAGCTACGATCCCAGCAAACAGTCTTTTCCATTCCTGTGACTGTTCCAGTTTAGTGACATTTCTCGAACCCTTAAAATCATTTTTGCGGGAATGTTCCAGTTTGATCCATTTGTTCTCACAACATTCCCAGGATGTGTCTAAATGACATGTCATGGTTTAGTAAATTCCATCAGGGAGCGTTCAGTAATGGTTCCCCTGCTTCATTTCAAAGACTTTGCAATGCTCTGGTCGCTCTCCAAGAACATTTCAGGGAACCTTTTCTGTTAGTAAATAGAAAATTGCTGAGAAACAGTATCACTGCAAAAATTAAAGGTTTAAAAAAACTCCAAATTTCAAGGTCAACTTAATCTCAAAATGACCTACAGTAAACTAATGATATTTTCTTCTGATAATCAACCATTCATAATTATTAAAACTTATTTTGTTCACTTTCATATTACAACTCACATCACTTAAACATTTAAAAAGTTTGTGTTTTAAATTAATTAGAGGCCAAATAACAAATAAAAGTTAACAAAATTAGATGAAGCAAAATACTTTGCTAAGTCTCAAAGGCCGTTAAATATTCTTTTATCGACTTTATCTAAAAGATTTGCTGAAATAATTCAAGCTTTTCTTCAAATTGCAAAAGATATGCACATATTGCCACAGCTCTGATTGTCATTACTGGATAAATAGACTTCACAATTCTGTTTTAGACATAAATCCCTCAGAGGGAAATTGCTTTTTTAGTATTTCTCACATATATATTGAAAGTAATAAATTATATTTTCCGAAGCCAATGCTATGTTTTCAAACTCTAAAACCCAAATATATTCACTTGACAATGATATAAAACAGGAAATCATCCAGTCAAGAGTGAGAAGCTGGACACAGGGAATGTGAAGCAGTAACACTTTGAAAAACAAGACTGAATGGATTCATGGATTCTATATGGAACCACACATACATTTTTATTGTATGTCGTTCGGTCCAAAGAGAAGGCAGTTACAAATGTGTTGCATTATAAGGCCGGGCTATTACACATCAAAGAGAGAAATAAAACATACAGCAGATGTCTAATTTGAAAACATGGAATATGAAATGACACTCGAGGCTGTTCTGTGATTTCTGAGCAGCACAGATCAGCTTCTTGACTGGAAATGAAAAAGAAAAGAAAACGTCTCGTACCAAAAAAACATCCAACAGTATGTCAGGTTTGCTGTGAAGTCATTTAACGATGTTCACATTCATTTTGGAATTTAGATGACGGCCACAGAGTGAAACTCCTCCAACGTTATATCATGAGAAGACTGAGTATGGCTGGAAGAACTAAGAGACTTGGTGAAGGGGTTGATACTTCATCAGTGCTGTTCTAATTAAAGGAATTCTCAATTTGCTAATAGCGTTTAGCTTTTATCAGCTAATTACATAGTTAATTTAATGGACATATCTGCTAAATTGCTTCTCCTCCATTATCTCCACATGTTTGTTTCTGACTGTGAAGGATTCCTGTGAGGTTTCTTCCTCTGCAGCATATAAAAAAATCAGTTAATGATCAGCGTGAATGAAAATGTCCTCACATATTTACAGGACAGTTATTGATGAACAGGATGCCTGCTCTTAATTCAGATGTCAAAATACGTCTGTGATCTTTAGCAGATAGATAGAATCCCCTTTGTAGTGACAGTTAACTACAGCCTAACTTTCTGAGTCCACACGTGGTCGCCAAGTCATTAGACAACATGCTTTTGTCCAAACAATGCTGGGTTTAAACCCAGAGGAACCGGTTAAACCAAGATTAGGAACTCGCCAAATAATTCAAGCACGAGGGGAGAAAATATGCAAACTGGGGCAGAGACTCAGAAGAGGAAGGGAGAAAATGTGTCAAAACAAATCTGAAGCCCTGATTGTGTCTCTTTGTGATCCTTCTGCGTCTCTATGGGGACGTTTTATCTCTTTGTTGTTGTTTTGCGTCTCTGTTTTTCATTTCTTGTTCATCTCATCTAATTGTCTGGAAATCAATCTCTTTATAGAGACATTTTGATATTAACAAGCAAATCATTTTTTTACTCAGGTAGAAGGGCAATGACATTTCATGTTTGGGGGCCGGGCAAATCAAATCGATTAGTTGCGTAGACTGATCAATTTATTAAGGAATCTATAATGTAATGAATGTGCAAAAGGTAAAAGCAATAAAATCAGTGCAAGATGGCAGCGCTCATATCCAGGATACTTTGGATAGCGAGTGTCGTCCGTCTTTACAGTCTGGTTTAAATTCAGCTTCTCGTGACATCATCACTACTGAAGTTTTGAGTCAACGGGTAAAAACATCTCAGGTCTTTGCTGAGTACAACCCTCACATTTGGATCTGTGTGTTTTAGTGCAGATAAACCACACTATGCATGGTCAGACATGATTTTAAAGATTTCATTTCTCTCACTCTGACGTGATAAAGATGGCATTAAGGTGGGCTGAGGTAAAGGTCAAAGAAAACAACAAGGCTGAATATTTCTGTGTGCACACACCAGATCAAAATGTCAAAATGTGGATTTTATGTAAGAGCTATAAAAACAACATCACCGGGAGCTGTCACTTCAGCCAAATGTCAGAGTCACAGTGTCAGATACATTCAAAGCAAGAAAAAGAAGGATGCAGAAACATATTTAACTCTGTGTGTATTAGAATTTCTTCTACAAATGTAGTGATTTAGAAAACATTGAGATATATAGCATATTTATAATTTTATATATAAATAAAATAAGACTCTACAAATTCTATGGTGGAAAAGGCAAGCAAACAATTTTTTTTCCATGGTTGTGAAATACATGTTTTGGTTTATGACAAAAATATAAAGAATCATTCCAGTTACATAAAACATGTTTAAACCTTAAACAAAGATTTTATGTCTGCAATTTCTTCAACACAATCTTTTGTGTGACAGATAACACGTTGGCTTGCAGAGTGAACACAGTCCCTGAGCTGCACGTATCTCTGTGGCTGTGGCCTCACAGCTGTTAACTCCTTTGGTTTTGGCGGTAACTCGAAAAAGGAGTCACTATTTCGAACATGACGAGCAGTTGAGGTGATCCTTTGTGGCGTTAGCGTATCCAGACAGGACGAGGGAGCCGGGATCTCGCTCTATCATCGTACTCTCCTCGATTTCCAGGATGTGCTTGATCAAGCAGCGGGCCGCCTCCTCGATGTTTGTGTTTTCCTGTGACGGGGTGAAAAAAACGCATGTAAAGAAATCCTGTACTTTCTTGCTCCTTCACTGCTCGGTGAAGGAAAATTAGTTCATCGGTCGAGTGTTTTAGTCCAAACTGAAATATCGTCCAACCTTCAGAAACATAGAGCGCAAATGTTACAATTTGTAATAAACTATTCAAATGATTTGACATTTCTATAACAGAAGCACAATGCTAATTCTCAAAAATTCCTAAAGCTGGGTTACATTATCCACAAGCTCCTGGGGTTTTGAGACCAAGTGAAGCTGTTGCACCAAAGGTTTGAGAGAAGGGATTTATTGCTTCAGAATGATCTATTCAAAGAGGATCATCCTGTTATTTTCCATTCCATATTTGTTTAACACCACATCATCAGAGAATTGATGGTTTATCTTAGTTTCCTCCCTCTGGAGCCTTTTGCTTTCCTCGGATGATCCCACGGCGGCCAGTTAAACAGTGAGTTTGTCGCAGTGAACTAATGTCACATTATGATTTCTGTGCTCTATGAGAATCCATAGTTCACACGGACTGTAGCTCCAATCAGAAAACTGTTGTTTCTGTGGTCACAATTATTTTTGGTCATTTCTTTTTTTTTTTTACACTGCCCACCAAACTAATTAGAAGCCGGGATGTCACACACTGTTCTGTGTGCTCCTCTGTCTGACCTGTGTGCTGAGCTCTCTCATGTTCACCAACCAACGCTGACGTCTCTGACTTGCACTCTGGTGTGTAACTCATTAGACGGGTTCACACCAGACTGCAGACGTTCCTCTAGTTCTCAAATAGTGTTTTCTTACTTTTAGTGTCAGCAGTGAAACACCCACAGGAAACTTCTCAATCATACTTACAGTACGTTTCTGCTGTA